CCCCCTGGGGGCGGCGGGACCACCCCGGCAGCACCCCACGCGTCCTGATTCAGCCGCTGCTGAAATTGACCAGCGGCTGATTCCAGGAAGCCCGAGGCAGAGTTGCTCTGCCCCAGGCTTCCTGGAATCAGCTGCTGATCAGTTTCAGCAGCAGCTGACTTGGGGACGCCTGGGGTTCCTAAGTTGAATCTGTATGTAAGTCAGAACTGGTGTCCAGATTCAGCGGCTGAATCTGGATGCCAGTTCCGACTTGCATACAGATTCAACTTAAGAACAAACCTACAGTCCCTATCTTGTACGTAACCCAGGGACTGCCTGTAGTATGTTTCTAAATTGTTTCAACATCTAAGCTTAAATTCCTCCTAAAAACTTTTTAAAAATGTTTTACCTTAGTCTGTTTTTGGATCTCTAATTTAATAGTGCAATGTAGCCTTTATAGTAACCACTGTTTAACTTATTTATTCAGGTCATGTAATGTTTGCTGAAATAAAAATGGAGAATGGAAAATCAAAAGGCTGTGGAACAGTCAGGTTTGACTCACCAGAATCTGCTGAAAAAGCCTGTAGAATAATGAACGGCATAAAAATCAATGGCAGAGAAATTGATGTACGCTTGGATCGCAATGCATAATTTAAAACTATGTTCAGGAACATTCCTATGTCTGTTTAGCTTCTGTAACCTAGTAAGTCATTTTTAGTAACATTGTATGCTTACAAAAGCTGTAAAAACAAACTTTTAAATCCCACCAGCCTTTAACAGTATAGTGTTTAATATACTGTGATTCTTGTTAACTAAATCTTACTATGTTTGGTTTTTAAGGACAGTTTGCCCGATTTTCAGATGTACTGAACACCTGCAGTCCCCTTAAAGACGGTGAGAACTGTTGGTTCTTAGCTGTGGATGCTTGGTGCCTCTGAAAAATTAGGTCAAGTGTCTCTAGTCATTCAGTTTAAATGAATGGTTATACTGTTTTTAATAAAATAAGCCATTTTTCTCTGTTCTCAAGATTGCATAGTGGGATTTTGTTTAATGTTTGATTTCCCCAGATTGTGTTAACATTGTAATGTAAAAAATTAGAGGTCCCTTCCAGAATTTTGGTTTTACATATGCATTGTAGTTGCACTGTAATTCTTCACTCTAAAAGAAAGGGCTCCAATTAGGCCGTGGTGATGTTTTATTTTTAAGATTACTTTTATGCCATGATCTAGAACGTCTGTAAATAAGTTTTTAGAGCCCAAAGGGAGTTTTGAATTTTTTTTATTTGACTTAATGAAGAAATTGACCCTCTCTTCTCATTGTTTTGTGTCTTCCTCAGTAGAGTTACTGGCTAAAACTAGCCACCACAGACCTTTACAGGATTGTTTCCAATAATTCCAAGTTCATACAAAATTGACAGTGTAGCAAATGTTAAGTAAACTATTAGACAGATTACTCCCAGTTTTTTATCTAGCTTCCAGCGATTCAGGTGGACTGCCAGAAAAATAAAAATAATGGAACAAATAAGAGAAATAGCTGTGTAAGTTAAACCACTGCTATTCACTTCCACGGGTGCTGATGTATCTACAAAGGCAGTTTTTATAAACCAGGGTACTCCCAAACACAGCATATCAAATACATTAGATCCTACAATGTTGGACATAGCCATATCTCCTTTTCCTGCAAAAGAAAAAACACCAAGTATCTGTTTACTTTTATTGTACTAGAGAGACTTTTCCAAGCATCTACAGTGAGATCAGTCATTCATGTTGGAACATAAACTTGCAGTGTTGGAGAAAAACATAGTACAGTAAAACTCCATTAGTCCGGCATCCAATGCTCCAGCACTCCTGATGGTCCGGCACCATCAGGAATCTGGAAGTGCTCTGGCTGCCGGACAATTGGAGCTGCTCTGCGCCCGGATTCCTCAATTCAGCTGCTGCTGAAACCGACCAGCAGCTGAATCGGGGAAGCCAGGGGCAGAGCAGTTGGGGGGCGG